CAGCAAGTACCTTATACTTCCCACAGTACCAAACCCATTTACACCAAGGCTTATGAGCTGTAAAAATATTTGCTATTTGCTATTTAGCTTGTATTTTCATTGGAGTAGAAGAGGAAGAGATGAAGGAAAGAAGGGGAAAGGAAAATTGAATATATTTAAATTCTAATAGGTGTTTGCTTTGCTTTGGGAGAATGGAGAAAAGAAAGACATGGAAAAGGGAGAGACTAACAGAAAGAGGCAGCAGGGGAAATGAGAAAGAAAGGAGTTGTGAAACTGGAAAGCCAAAGAAGCACAAGAAGGGTGGGGGTTTGGGGAGAAAGAACAGCCTAGTGTCCATCCCCCCTACTCAGCAGTCACACAGCAGGGTCAGGCTTTGGGAAAACCCTGTCGGAGGGGCCCCCAGGAAGCACTCTTGGGAAGCTGCATCCCAGCCTCTACACAGGAATGGGAGCGCAGGGTGGGGGGAGGGGTGGGGGGTAGGAGAGACACTGTCATTTGCATGAAGCTCCAGCTGTGACCTTAAATGTCCCATTGGCTCCATTTGCAATGCAAACCATGCCCCTTTCAGCAAAACCTTCCACCTGGGCGTCCATCCTCAGCAGAGCGAAAGGGAAACAAATCCCAAGAGCCCAAACCAGCAAGTGGGGGCAGGGCAGTGCTGTAACTTTTGTAAGGAAACTTGATGGTGAAAAGAAAAAAAGGAGACCAGAGAAAAGGAAGACAAATGCAGCCAGAGGATGTATAGAGAAAAGCAAGGCCCGATGTTTCACTTCATCCTCAAATAGAATCTACATTCAAAATCTCATTTATAACACTAACAATAACTGTGATTTCAGGAAGCCCAGAGGTCTCTTTCAAGAGAGGCTCTTCAAGTTCTCTCCCCACCCCCCACCATCTCTTATCCTCTGGCTTCTAAACTCACTCACTACCATAAACCCTGGAGAAAGGAAGTTATGTTCAGCTGGAAAAGCCAAGCCCTGGGACTGGCTGCAAGCACACCATCTG